TAGCAAATGTGAAAAAACGGGCCGACTGGTTAAAGACTGAAGTTAATCGGCTAAATCAAACTTTTCTTGATATTATCAGGGATCGTAGACAGGAAATAAGCAGGATTCCGCTAGATGTGCCATTACAAACAGATTTTTTGACAATGTTATTAACTATAAACACCCCTCGAGATATTACTACAAATATTGCAGATGATCGCCATACAAGTCCTATGACCGATGAAGATGTTTGTGGAAACTTAATAGAGGCAATTGTAGCTGGCGTTGACACGGTAAATATTTATTAGTAAATGATGTTATGTTTATTTAAGAAATTAGACTAAAATATTGAAATAGAATAGACCACCAGTACATTTTGTTTTATTGTATATCATTTAGCGCATTATCCTGAAATTAAAGAACGTGTAGTTAGAGAGATAAATTCAGTCTTTGATATTGATCTCAATCGACCTATTAATTACGAAGATTTGAGTAAATTAAATTACTGTGAAGCTGTTATCAAAGAAGGTAAACTCAGCCACTTGATTATGTAGTTTTTAGTAAGCATGTATATTGTAACCTAATATCATCACTTCTGAATTTGGTTATTAGTATCTCGTTTAATGTCAATTGTGCCAGTAATTTGGAGAATGGCAATTCGAAATGATGAAATATCACATCACAAATTCAAAGGCTCGACACAATTCATGATCAATACTCCAGCAATTCATATGCATGAAGCAGATTGGAAAGATCCAGAATTGTTTAATCCTTCGCGATTCATGAATGATAGTAATAATTCGATTCATAAAAATTCGTTATTAATATTTGGAAAAGGGTTGCGCATGTGTAATTATCATTAAAATTATCACAATTAGCTTTATTCACAATGACATTTCATAATGTACATTAATCTATTTTTATAGGTCCGGGCAAACAATTCGCTATGGTAGAACTTAAAACTTTAATGGTTTTATTATATAGAAAGTACGATGTTGAACTGGTTGATATTAATGCACCAATCAAATATCATTATTCTACTGTTAAGCATTGTGATGATCTTTATGTCAGAATCAAACCAAGGATTTGAAAGAAAGTTTCATATTAAAATATGGACAATCTGATTAACTTGCAATCACTTCTATTGTTAACTTCTCTATAGTCAATGCACAAAGTCAAGCAGCTGTACTTATTGGTCAAAATGAGCTGACATACTTATATGTAAACTTTTTTTTTAAAAAAAAAACACTGATATTTATTCTTAATTCAATTCTTTACAGTATTCTTTAAGCCAAAAATTCAACCCACCCAAATT